CCCGAATCTCTAGGAACAGGAGGACGCAGGATAAAGTTCCATACTTCTTGGTTTGGGTGGTGTCTGTTTTTTTTCATACACGTTTATTTCTAAGCACATTTAAAAATACCACCCATTGGCTAAAAGTACTGTACCATTAGTAGAATAAAACAACTTCAATAAAAGTAATAGGGGGACTCAGTCTGGTCAGAGAGGTAAGGACCAGAAGGCAAAAGGTTTCAGTCTTCCCATTTGATCAGGTTTTTTCCCCGTGCGATTTGTGACCATCGACATTCCTTCTAGTCAGAAACACATTTCCAGATGAATAGAGAGGCAGGATAGGAGCGGTGGAGTTGGAGCAGCTTTTAAGGGTAAATGTTATCTTGCATAATACTCAGTTGACAGTTATGGTATCACTGCACTGTGTTGTGTTGCTGTACTGGAGGAAAAGGTTTCTGGATTTTACAGATGTGCTTGTTGTCTGCAGGTGTCAGGGTGGCTGACAGGAGAAGCTGCAGTCGTGCTTCAGGCGGGTTCACATTAATGCTAATGACACGTTTGTGCTCGCTCTCAAACCTGTGACGGGTCTATGCTAGAACACTAGAATGGTGACACTATACTGTATTTTTGGGGACTTTGTGACGTTGTAATAAATTCACATCCTTTGGTGGAAGGATCTACAGCAGCGGTCTCCAACCTTTGTTGCGCCACGGACCGGTTTATGCCCGACAATATTTTCACGGACCGGCCTTTAAGGTGTCGCGGATAAATACAACAAAATAAAACTAGTACCGGTACAGAAAAAAAGAAGATTTATTCATAACACATGTAAAAGACCCAGGAAAACCGAGTTAACGATCAAAACGTTAACCAAATAACGCTGAAAATGATAAAAACCCTGAAAACCACACATTTCACACCTGAGCCTCAACTCTCGCGGCCCGGTACCAAACGACTCACGGACCGGTACCGGTCCGAGGCCCGGGGGTTGGGGACCGCTGCTCTACAGTAACAACAGCAAAAAGTTAGGTCCAATCTGCTGGGCATGCTGTCGGATCCATTGGGGATGAGAGGCATGATGTGCAGCATGATGGGAGAAATCAACACTTTCAACATGAAAACTTAAACTGGGGATAACAAATAAGAAAACCTTTTAACTTTTTAACTTTTTTTATCTTTAATGTTATATTATAACCTGTAATTATGCTGCAGATTATAAATCTTATAGTCCACACAAAAACACTACAAACAGTAAATGGAAAATGAGATCGCCTCCACATCATTTTATGATGATATTTTTATCATTGTGTTTGTTGTTTAACCTGAGTAACACTTTAACACTCACAAACTGGACTGTTTCTCGCATCCAGCAATACTGAGGAAGATATCTCATTTACATTTAAATCACCAAATCTGTTTTGTGGAGAGAAAAATGTTTTCCCTCGTGTACGTGTGCTGCTCTGTGTGCAGGTCTGTCCAGCACAGCACTGACACACATAGCATGTCTGACACTAAGAGCAGCAGAAGCAATCGTTTCCCAGTCGGGATGGACACACACACACACACACACACACACACACACACACACACACACACACACACACACACACTGTACTCTGCAGTATATCACTGTGATATCAGAATCTGAACTAATTCACATTAACTGCAAGAAGCCAGGTTATATTTAGTCTTTTGTTTTAAACGTTTCTTAATTTCAGGTAAATAAATCCTGTTTTTAGCTTTCGTAGCACAGATTAGGCAGGACGAGCATCTTGTAGCCCTCCGGCTCACTCAGTCTCAGCCTTTTTTTAGTTTCATATGTTGCAGTTTTATAAATATTCAGCAACAGTAGCACTGGGTAAAGCAGATTTATTTGAGGTTTGATTATTCCTGCGCCCCCTTCTGGATAGATGAAACTATGCACCTGGTTTCCACACCTGCTCTGCAGCAGTTCCAGCTGGCCCTGGTCTGACTTTTCAATCAGCACTCCTGGGTCTTCAGTAGAGGAAAGTCAAAGAATATACTCTGCTGCTCGGCATGGAGATTTTGATTTTAGAAGACATGGCTGATCCTTTTATGATACTAAGTTCACATTATGGGAAATGTTTTCTGAGTGTGACCCATGGAGAAACTGACTGAAACAAATCAGCTGCTTTAGGACAAACAGCCTGCAGACACCGCTCAGTCCTTTACATGTTGTAGCTGTTTACTGTCACCAGGGGGCAGTGTGCAAACCATCAGAGGTTGTTTTTGTTGTTTTTCTGTGCTTCTCCTGTAAATTCTGCTCTTGTCTCCAGTGTTGGACGTACACACAGAATCATCCACAGTGAGCCACACGCTGTTCGGCTTTGTGGGCTGAAACAGGGAGCCGTGGAAAAGTATGTGGTGCTACTGCTGTGTGGGCGACGCTGGCTTGTGCCGTTGTTGGTTCATCAGCCAACCACTGCGAATAGCGAGGTCCTAACGTTCAATGAGAACCACTGAAAAGCGTCCTCTGCACTCTCTGATGTTTTTCTCTCCGATGTTTCTCCCATTCTTGATAAACTCTGGACTGCACAGGTGCACATTTGCATCGCTCCTCTGTGGCCTCCCTGTAGGCTCTCCATAGACAGATATCTATCCCAACGGTCACAACGCTGTACCGCAAATTAAGCATAACCCATCCCAGATATGCCAGCTGTCTTGTTCACTGCGAGGAGCCTGTTTGACCCGTTCATTGTCTCGCCACGTCTCTCTAACCTCTTCATTCTGTCTGGCAGCATGAACAGAATTAAGAGCGTCGCTGTGTGAAGGTCAGACATACTGTTTGTGTCTGGCCAAATGGGTGGTCTGTAACCTCGCTGCTGGGGGGTTTATTATATGTATGTGTGGCAGAGTATGAGTGCAGCGTGCAGGGTTGTGACCTGTGACCTCACAGGGATTCTCTTTATATGCTCTGTCTTTGTCTCCATACACTCTCCACACATTCCCTCATATTCAGAGATGTGTAGAGACCAAACCTGCCCCCCCTGATGGATTATCCCGTCCTCCATTTCAGCAGGCTGTTTCATATATCCATTACTCTATATGTGCAGGCATGGCAATCTACTGCCTGAGCAAAGATGGAGGGGTGTGGGGTTTTATTTTCCCATGTGGGACATACAGAGGGGGGATTGTGCCCCACAGGAAGCCAGCAGCCGTTATTTGTCCAAAACATCCATCTCTGCGCTGAAGTTGGAAAAGCCTTGGAGCGAAAGTAGTAGGTCCTTGTGACTGACCTCCTTTGTTCCATTTTTGCTTGTGTCATCACATTAAGACTGAGCTTAGAATGTGCCCGAGAGCCGTGAAGCTGTGCACACATGTGGTCTATTGTCTTTAAAAGAGCATCGTCGTGCACAGTGGCAGTGATGAAGTCACACGTCATCATCACCATTAAAGAGTTAAAAAGTAAAACATGACTACTATGTGGTGAAACAGCTGTATTGATAGCTTAACAACAAGATCTGTGAACTGGAGACGATCTGCAGACTATGAGATTGTAGCAAGTCTTAAACAGTTTTCGATCAGCGTGTCCTCCATCGTCCACCCTACAACCATCACACACTTTCATCTCATGCTCATTATTGTTATAGCACATTAGCTGTACTGTGTTCATTGTTCATTGGGGGTTATTGATCATCAGGTTGAGGGACCACCACGGAGAAGTGTTAAGCGAGCTCACGGATGACTGACTAGACCCTGAGCTGTGCTGCTGCTCGTCTGCTTCCCCGGCATGATGTCCTCATAAAGACTCTGACATTCACATCCAGCTCTCCCTCTCCACTTCAAAGGCCACAGAACTGATACATCAATAATGCAAAATGACTCCAGCTCTGCCAGCCAAACTCAGATCCTGTCACGTGGCCCCTCAGTCACCCCTCTAACACTCACGACCTCATGTCCTGCTAAACCCACCCACCCATCTTATCATGATCACGCTCATAGAAATCCATTCTCTGACAGCTTCTATCAGGGGGAAGTGCAGTTTTCAGGTGATGCTCACCAATCTAGCGTTAGTGGAAGACAGATCTAACGATGGAGGTCAGTGGTGAGGACTAACTGAAGGATTTTGTACTGCTTTCAGCGATGAAGCAGTCAGTGTACTCCCTTCTGTTCTTAGCCAGAGTCTTACCTTGTGTGAACATTGCTTCCAAACACATTTAAAAATGCAACAGTGAAACATTTTTAATGAAGTTCAGTGTGGAACCACCTTTCCTCAAGTTCCACTCCAGGCTGCTTTATGGTCCCCTACTGCCGTCTGGTGGACGTTTCTATTATTGCAACTAGACTAAAGCGTTAATGTCCACACACAAGCTCCAGACCTTTTAGAAAGGCTTTTGATTTTCTTGATTAAATAAAATATTGTCCTTTTAAGCACATCATTTGTCTTGTTGTGTTTTGGAACTGTTGAGAATCTGAGTCACTAAAGCGACACACCCGAGTCAAAGGAATGGGCGAAGCATCATCAGCTGTTTAATCACATAAAGTTGTGGAGAGACACTCAATTTTTGCTTTTCTTTGTCTGTCATCTGAAACTAATTTATCCCACAGTGCACCTACACTGTGTGTTTGCACGGAGGGACGAGACATGCAGCAGTTCCACACTTCTACCATATGAGTTTGTTGTAGATCAGACCAAGCGGGCAATCTGGAAGCTATTATGTTGTTATGGTATGATGGATCACGTCAAAGGCATGTCCGCTGCTCTGTATTCGATCACCCTAAAGCCAGGTTGTGTGCGTGAGAGCTCCATTTCCCAGAAAAGATGCACTTATCGTGACTGTTGCCAAAGAAAGGAGACGCCTTTGTACTGGAAGTTTATCATGTGAACTCACATCAGCAGTCAGCTGTAATACTTTATATAGTGTTTAACCACAAAGTAACCTGTTATATTTGCAGTTAAAACAGATATGATGCAAATGCTTATAAAGAACATGTGCGTCATTCTCCGTCAGGTTAACATGATCCTAATCATCACTTTTCCTTCTTTGTGTCTGTTTCAGGTCCTTGGCACTCCCTCTGAGGATATGTGGCCTGGTGTTAACTCCCTGCCTCACTTTAAACCAGGTAATTACCAGATCTTAGTATAGTTTTAATATACACACTGGCAAAAATCATGGCATGCATGATTAACTCTGTCTCTGTGGTGTAAGTCTGATGTTGTAGCAGTGCTACCCTGAAGATACATAGATCACATAAAAACAAAGGAGAGTGTTGGAGGAGGACTGAGGCCATTTGTTGTGACCATTGTATGGCTGCTGTTAGCATACAGCTTGCTTTTGCACAGGCATCAACACTTTGTACAATAAAATCTAACAAGATGCTGAAGAGTTAGCCTGAAACCGTATCTATGTAATAGATGCTATAATACTGCCGCTATGCATAAATTTTACTGTCATTAGTATCTTTAGTTGTTTGGTGTGCGGTTAAAGATAGCCTCTATGCTAACACTTTAGGCTATCTAATTCTGACTGACGGGGCGGGCAGATTGATCCAAATATCGATAATATCGATATCAGTGCCGGTGCTGCTGACTGAAAGCAGGTGTCCTGCTAACTCTTCAGTCTACAGAATCAGAACGACAGATAACAAGATCACATTTTAGTGTCCAGGTTTTGAGGAAAGCCGCAGAAGCTGTTGCGACTTGGTTGTCACGCTGTTGTGTGCATTCTCAGAACTCCAAAGCTTATCATGAATATGAGGCAACACTGCCACCTACCAAAAGCTCACTGTACCCCATTAATGCACCAGCAGCAGAAGAGGGGGTGGCAGCCATGCCTTCTGGGAGCTCATTAGGGCTTTTTAGATAGGACATGAATAGAGGGACTGCAGAAGAGCTGGAGCTGAGAACAGGGGACAGGCAAGGATGGACATCAAGAGGGTTAGCGCGAGGGTTCGGGGTAGTGAGGCATCACAAAGCTACAGTATGTGACCCAGCCTCTTATCTCCAGTGGCCAATTAGAAACCTACTGGGGTGGCTTTCGTGGTCACATGCACATACAACCCATACTAATGTGACTTTGCATCCTGTGGCCACAGCGACAGTTGGCTCTTGTTAGCCTCTCGCACACTGTGTTGCACAGCTGTGCTGCTGTCTCACCCACACAAATGTACACACATGCCCAGCTTTGGCTGGCTCCAGCCTGCGAGCGCCGCGTCTCTTCATATGACGAGTGCATGTTCAGGGCTTCTTGTGGCTGCGCTCTCAACAAACACGGGAAAAAGTGAGACGCTTGTGAAGCCCTGTAATGCCTCTGAGTGCACATCAATTACAACCTGAGTGCAGACACACAGTGAATGAGAGGATAATGCAGGAGCAGTTTTTAAGCACAAGGGAGAAATTGAACTATAATCTCCTGGAAGTGCACTTCAGGTCTAATCTGAAATCTTCTAATCTACACTGTGGCAGGAATAAAGTTCATGTTTTTCTTTGGACATCGACTGTTTTTTTACTCATTTTCTAGGCTTTGTATCTGACCAGTTTTAGAGGATTTGTGTTTGCTTGGTTGTTTCTCTCATTTATTAATCACTTTAGGTAAAAACGTGCTCACGGCATAAACTGATCTTAGACAATCTTTAGGTACTTTGTTATTAGCAGCATGTTGTTTCAACAATAACACAGTTTGTCATCCATGAAATAGCCCCAACAAGATGATTCTTAAGAGTTACTAGCAAAAAAACTTAAGAAGTCTTAGTAGGTGTGTCCTTAAAAAATCAGAGGAAACTGGAGGATCAAAGAAGAAGTGCCCAAAAGATGAACCACAGCAGGAGAACGGTAATCCTTAATGATAGCAGGTGTTATACTACAGCTATAGCCTCCATAATCTGAATGATATTGTGTTGTATGCTAACACTTTCACAAAACTGAATGACAGGCTAGCCGACATAAGCAGATAAAGAGATGGACATATGAATAAAGCAGATCACTAGCAGAGCTCATTAAAACAAATATAATGGAAATCACAGCTGAGTAGCTGCAGTGGCTCTGTGGAGATATTGTGTGCAGACCAGCAGTGGATGGTGCTGAAACAAAACCAGTCTCTGCTGACACACTGAGTGGTAAAGAGTTAGGTCTGTGATTAAAGTGTGAAGACAGATGCAAAGACAAACTACTTGAGTATTTTTCTTTAGGTTTGTAACAATAAAAATCTGTTACTGACTTTGATTTTTTGCAGTATTTGAAACGTGTATAGATACAAACGAGCGTCTACATGTCTGAGGCTGCAGTGAGCAGCAGGTGGCAGTGTTGCGTCAGTCTGCAGAGTTTCCTCAGCAGGACTGAGCTCCTCTCAGCCGCCCGTTGTCCAAAAACACACGACTGCTGTGCCGAGGATCCGTCACATATTTCTCTGTTACTTCCACATAAATTCTGCAGCACCTTCCTGTCTTTCTTTTCTGTCCCGCTCCAACCTGAATACATCGCTGCACTTTCAGACACGATGCTGCGGCTTGGCCTTGAGTGAAGGCGCCGCTTTTTTTTCACATTTTTGTGGGAATGAAAAGGTTCCACAGATACTTCCTCACTTCCAGCCATATCTCCCTTTAGCTGCCTCCCGCCGCTCTTAGTCTCAGTCATGGTCCAGCTCAGACTGCGTATCTGAAAATGAAACCTTGAAGGGAGGGCGCATATAAAACCTGCAACACAGCTGCACAGTGCACACAGGTACAAACATGCAGACAGTCTGACCAACACCTCAGACACAGTATAATGAAGGTTCTGGTTGATTTGAGCTGTGATTCTGACATATTAATGAATACATTTCAATAATCATGTTTTGTGGTATTTAAAGAAAGGACTAACATTTGCACCAGTATGCTCGAAATATCCAAAATTATGACTATTTTGAAGCATGCATGTTTTACCAGCACAGCCTGGCTCCACCCCTCCTCCTGCTGATAGCTGGAGCCGTCTCCCCTGGTGCTCAGCGAGCTCTGGTCAGCTCACGCCGGCGCACCTGACACCAGCCTGGGCGACAGGACCCACTGCTGGCTGTCTTGCAAGCTGCAGGCTGATGCTGGAACAGGCTGTCTGGTTGCAGGCTAGCTGGATCAGGCCAACAGTGTGGGAGTCCAGACGGACTAGCTCACTGGGTGGCTGGCTAGCTTGTACAGTAGCTGACTGCACGCCAACATGGCAGTTTTGGCTGTAATTAAGAGAAGAGCGCTGAGCCTTCACACATTCACAGCATAGCGATCATAGCTGCAGAAGCACGCAGACACTGCTTCACCAAACTCCTCTTGCAAATATGACAATTTAATGTGGTTTGGCCTTGCAGCAGAGGCACATAGTTCACACTGCATTGCTCAAGAGGATTTCATTCATTTTCCAGTCCTCATTTTGGCAAACTAATACACAAAGCAACACTTTGTGTGATAACATTAAGCTGTTTTGCCTGGTCGTCGCAGGCCTTCACTACAGCACACATTTTTAAGATTTCAGACAAAGAATTAATTACATTGACTGTGGCTGCATTCCTTTAAGATGATCCGGTGAACTGTCCGGCACAGCTCAGTCTGAGGAGCACAGTGTTGAAGGTATAACTTACAGTGACAGGCCAGCTTTGTACAACATTGCATGTATATTTGTGTTTGCACTTTTCATGAGTGTGATTGTATAATGCAGGAACTTGCCTTTGTGGCAAACTGTTAGCTTTGGTTTTAAAATGTGGGACCGAAAAATGTATTTCCGGATGAGGTGCTGCCTGCAGAGCCAGAGAACCAAAGAAGATTGAGATGGATCCCAAACTAAATGTATTTAAGCTTTTGATTGTGGTTCACATGAAGCTGCAGTTAAAGTCTGACAAGCTAGTTACTGCAGCACTAACCGATTCAAAGTACTTGCTTTACCAAAATATATCTTTTTGCAGGTTTTGAGATGTTTTACTGCCATTTTTATACCGCAAATGCTCAGTTTGATGCAGTTTCTTTTGACGTGTGTCTCTATAGGACATGATCATCAAAGATAAACAGCCCCTGCTATGTGTCCAAATCTAAGAGGTAGCCAATCAAAAGGGAGCTGCCTTAAAGCAATAGGAACTAAAAGCACCGAGGTTATGTTTATTTCTTTTTTATTATTTTGATTTGAATCTTGCAGAACTACTCTAGTAGAATCCAAGAATAAAAATATGGAAGTGAAAATGGCCCGATTTGAAAAAGACAGAAACACAATAGCAACACTGCAGCAGTGAGCTGTGCTGGGTGGAGATTAGCAGCCAATTAACACAAGGGAAGATCTGAAACTAGGCGGCCTTCTCTGTGAGGCTAAGCTAAGGCCCTGCCACTATTTGAAAAATCGTAGTTTGCAATTAATTATTGCAGCATCTATGTCTCGTAATTTGCTGAGACGTGCACGTAGAAGTTTGGTTTGAAGGTGTTTTAGCAGGTGTGTGTCATTAACCCAGCAGCAGCTCTTAGTGCAGCCATTTAATTGCTTGTTGTTTTTTTCTCGTTGCAGACCGCTTTACAGTGTACAGCGCAAAGAAGCTCAGACAAGCTTGGAATAAGTAAGTGAGCTGTTTGTGTGTGTGTGTGTGTGTGTGTGTGTGTGTGTGTGTGTGTGTGTGTGTGTGTACAAGCCTGCATGCAGCATTACTGCAACATCATATGTGTGACTTGTGTTGTGCGACATCAGGCAGGAAAAGGGCAGGGCTTGGCAGTCAGGGCTTCTCCCAGATGTGTGCCACTGTTTGCCCCAGGCGTACATCTGGAGTGGAGACAACGGCGGGCAAAAGGGGAGTGTGACTGTTTTCCAGAGGGAATTTGAAATAAGCAGCAGGGAAGTGATTTCTATAAAACTCCAGCTGTCTATTCAGCTACAATCACAAAGTATAGCTGCTGGAACGAAGATTCGTCGTCACTAACTAAAGCCGTCATCACACAGGACGCTAAGACCTGCGTGCCTCCTGTGATTTGGAATAATTACACAGGTCATCCTTAATCCTCAGAGAATCTGCTGCGCCTCTAATCTGGAAAGTAAAGAATCTGCCACAAATTACTTCCCATGATGTGCCAAACATTCTGCCGCTGTATGAATTATCGCCAGAGTCATCTGCATCAGTGTATTTTATTTTATAATGATAACTGTCAATAACAAGATTCAAAGCTAGAAAACATGCCCTCAGTGTGTGCTCTTTAGTGCCAGGACATGAAAACCAGGGAGTTAGTTTCGAATTTACACTTGGATTTTTATCTTTGGACAGTAAGTCCTAAAACCTGGAAATGGTTTTTCAGCTTCTGCTTCCCTCATCTTCAAATCACTGATCTTTCTGGATGAGTTCTTGGTTAGATGTCTTTATTCAGTGTAACCCTTACATGTTTTCACAGTTTCTCATATAATATGCATTTGTTAACAAGTGGATCAGAGAGAGTACAGACATCGTTGAGGACATTTAATGTCGTATGATACAAAATACAAACGTTTCGTGGTGATGACGCTGACTTCTACCTCAATGGTCTCATTTACTTTAGATCCTAATGTTGCTGTTTTACTTCTGACGATGTGTATTCATGCTTCAAATTGTTATTTCTCCTTATGGAAATGATCATATACACTTTTATTTCGTGTGAAGCTAATGTTACACGATAATGCAGAAGCATGGCTCTTTGTTAAGGGGGCCACAGTGATGCTAACGTCTGGGATGACATACAAAACATCATCCCTGCAGCACTTATTTCATGCTCCACGCCGTCGTGTTCTCCTGGCTGCAGTTATACATTTTACCCCCAAATTAATATCGACCCTTTCACACGTAGTGGGCACTACAGTGGACAGCTATTCAACGGCTGTTTTCTTGTCACTCTAAAAACTAAAACTGACATTTTTACATTTTTAAACCAGTCAAATCTGTTCAATATACTTGATCAATTGAATAACTAAAGCTTAAACATATGAAGTTGAAATGAATAATTGTAGTTGTTACACAAACATGAAATATAGATATATTTTTGTTCCATTTATTTAATATTGTAAACTGAACGTAATCAAAATTGTACTTAATACTAACATTCAAATATGAATGTTATTATATTTCACTGGTAGTCTAAGTCTAAACCAGACCAACTGATATGTAGTCGTGTGTTTCATAATACATGTATGAAAAATGACCACATGTTAACATTTTTCCAAATGAAAAATGTATTTTCATAAACACGGCAATAACTCGAAATAAACAAGCACTAAAAAGACAAGAGCCTTTCCCCTTTTAGCTCAAAGCCTCACATACCTGAAGGATGAATGTCAAACCAGGAGCGCAAACACAAACGCTCAGAGTATTTAAAAAACAAAATGAACAAAACAAAGGCTCATGGTACTCAATTACTCCACGTTATCGTGTTTTACTTACACTTTTCAGTTGTAGTTGCTGACAATAAATAATATTGATTTGAATAATTAATGATTTTAGAACAAGATACTGATGAGTATAGATACATATTTCTCAAATATTTAGATTCAATTTTAAACAGAAATATTAGGCACATGCAAAGAAGGTATTCTGTGAACCACATACTGAATTTTTTGTCTGAGATAAATGTAAATAAATACCTTAATTAACACAAACACATATGTTAACATTTTAGACATTTATTTCAGCTCATCAAACTCAAATAATTACTAAAAGGATATTCACAGAGTCTATCAGGCTCATCTAACTTATATTTATAGTGATATTTACTAAGCCTCTGAATTACTTTTTAGAGTGTATTTGTGTCAGTGTTGATGGTATACTTGCACATAAACCACTACGTTGAACACTGATGTGCCACTCCATACTAAATTCATAAGTCAGAACGTCTGTTGTCTACCTAAGTGGACATGTAACAAACTCTTTGAAAAGTACATTTAAAAAATAAAGTTCAAAAATCTTTTTTTCATGCCTAAAGATGGATAAAAATCCTGATTGAGGTTGTCATAATTCATGCATGAAAGGGTTCATAATATAAACTGATTAGTAACTGAAACACTTGGGATTTTAAGCTTATACGCTGGGTTGTAACATCAGCTGGGGATATCAGTTTGACCCCAACACTTACAGTTAATTGCTCATTGGCTGGTTGGTGTTTTATATGGTATGAAATTCGACGTGTTTCTGAGAGGCTTACTTTAGGATCCAAATATCAAAGAGTTGATCCACAAGTTCTCAGAGTAAGTATTTCAGTTGGATGGGTTTGATTTGAAAGCAACTAATGTAGAGTATAATGATTTTAATAGAAGGATCCTTTAACCTCCTAAGACCTGAACTCTTCCACAGCAGCATTTTTAATTTCTCTTTGCTATTCGGGCTGATTGGGACCCGATGAATGTAAAAACAAAGAATTACCAGATTTTTTTTTTTTACTTTATTTTTGTTTTTAAGAAAAATCAGAGCCACATATGAAGATATTCGTTTAAAATGTTGATAGAACAGTAGCAGGATAATGTCCTTGTAAGTGGATATCAGGCAAAATTGAGTATTTTGGTCTAGATAACCCAAAATGTGATGTCCACATATGTGGACGCCAGGTCCGAGGAGGTTAAAGAAGTGAACTGAAGCATCCGAGGACAAATGAAAAGCAGACATAAATGTTAGCTGCGGTGGATTCCTCGGTCCCTCCCAGTCTCCTGATTTTCTCGAGTCCAGGAGGAAATAAAAATTTGCAGAAAGAAAGTGAGGTGGAATGTTAATGGCCATCACTTCCTCTCAACTGCCTTTCATCACAGTCCAGGGAACGGTGAATTCGATATGAACTCGCTATGTCCTGCCCTGAGACTTGGCTCACCCCCTCGTGCTCTCTGTGTTTCTGGTTTCCATCAGCCATTTTTCTCTGCTGCACTGTTTTTCTTCCAGCTGTGAAAATGCGGACGGCTGATGGACAGGAAATCAATCTGTGTCTATGGGGGTTTTATGTGTTTGTGTGCTTTGACGTGTATTGTAGTACAGTTGTTTCCCCCAAAGGCCAGAGGCAAAGTTTTTGTTAAATCACTGCATTTAAAGTCTGTGTCACAGGTGACAAGAGTACAAAACACGGCGCTGTGGTCAGGTCGCAGCAACAACAGCAGCTTTGAAATGAAAGGTTTTTGTTGAAATGCAAATGAAATGTAAACCAGATCTTTTCCTCACTTCACACCAACTGCTGCTAGGGCCTAAAAATACACTCAGCGGACACTTCATTAGTTACACCTCGTCAGACCTTTTTTGTGGCATAGATTCAAAATGGACGGTGGTTCCTCAAAGATCTGTACATGCATGATGTGGCTCGACCGTTCCAAAGGTTTGAGTTTATATCTGGTGACTGCTGATGTCTGATTGGCCAGTTTGAGATGATTTGAACATGTGACATGGTGCATTATCCTGTTGGAAGCAGGGGTGTGAAACGTACGGCCCGCGGGCCACATCTGGCCCATTAAAAATGTCATATTATTAATATCCCAACAGTACGTGGGAGACGAAACTTCAGCCCTGCTGTGAATCCATGCAGGCAGGGGTGCGACACACCATGTGGCCAATCACACGCAACGACACACTGGGATCATACCATTGTGTGAAAGAAGGAAGGGGGGCAGACGTTCTGTGGTACGGGCCAGAGAGACGTGAAGCCCGATTTAAAGACAAGCGTGTCGAGAGAAGTGAATAAATGAGTTAAAACGTAAAATTATCATCTGTCTGCATGTCAGTGATATCGAGTGTCTAAATGAGTCTCGCAGGCCTGAACGTGCGCTGGAAGCCATTTATAATTCTTGTTTGATCTGCCGCTCAACACAAACAACCACAAGCAGAAATCTTTACTTTTAACTGTATTTGCACAAGTTTTGCAGTTTTTTCCTACAAATTTCCCTTATGGCCGTTCATACCTCACAAAGAAATTAAACAGTAAACACATAACCTGTTGAACCCCAGTGCCCCTGGAGGCGAGAGGGAGAACAACTGGATGATCAGATCTGTTATTTAAATATTTATGTATAAAGTTTGAGACCCCTGCATTAGAAGATGGGGTACACATAAAAACCCAGGCTGGCTTTGACATTTAAATGATGGTCTGTAGGTACTAAAGGAACATGGATGGGTAGTCTTTGTGCATGAGGTTGCTGCGATGTGCACAGACTAAGTATAAGCAGGAGTATATGCCAGTGGTAAAACTCACCACGGAGTACTACAATTACTTTATTAAACGAAAAGTGAGGTGGAAAACTACTACTACTATCCTCAGATCAGTTGCACTGGGGCCTGTTTGGTCATGTGTTGCTGCCTTCACACTTGGTTTTTATTCAACAATCTCGTCATTAAATTAGTCAGACATGGTGAAAGCATTTCATAGAAATTCTTCAGACAAAAAACACAAAAGCTTTCTACCTAAACAGCTCCGAGTGGCCGAGATGAAAGGTCTCCTCTGCTACTTTCAGTTGTGGTGACGAGACAATAGAGGCAGGTGGTCTCCTCGCCCTCGCTTCTCGAAAGTCCTTCCTGTAGTTATTTTGATGGATTACCATGAAAAAGCACTTGCCATGCTCCAGTGAAGAAGGAATGCCTCAGCCTGCTGTGAATGTGTCATCACCTAGATCTGTTTGATAGCCACAGGAGACACTATCGATCTTAATGCAGATGTTGGCTCGTTCGCTCAGCTAAGTTGGCAGCAATAGCAGAAAGGAATGCACACCTACCATGCATCAGCAGCTTTCAAAGGCCAACATACTGATATCCAGGAGACTTCACACCAACAACTATGTGCCTGCACTCTGTGCGCCTGCAGAGAAAAGACAACACCTGAATCCAGCTTCACTTACAGACTGCGACTAAACAAAGGCACGTTCATAAGGTTTCACTGGAAGATTTGTTTTTAATGCAGTAGAGTTTATCATTCCAGCTGCAAGTTTGGGACATGGTCATATTAACCTCACAGTAATATAAATTAGTGTCCCCTGTTTACATCCAGGGGACATGTTTTCATCTCAGTATAGATTATTAGTTAATCTGCTGACTGATTGAAAAGCAGGCTAATTATATCAATTTTTCAGTTTTAGTGAAACTGGAGGTGGGGATGATATATAGATCTGCAATAGGCAGATCTGCAAGCGCCTCCTCTGATTGGACTATCGGTAGGGGTGGGCGATATAAATGATATACGATAGAAACGATATAAATTTGGCCAACGATAGAGATACTATATCGCTCTACCGCGATAGCACATGTTGATGATGTCATCAAGCTGCACCTGTTTTGGTCGAAAGCATCGCAGCGGCTACAACCATTATCATCTGCAAATTATGGCGGGCGACAGTCACAGCAAAGAGATGAAGCACTTTTGAAACATGGGGAAAGCCAAAACCTGCGCTTCCTCCACTTCCGTAACATTGATTCATTAATGCTGAATTCTCTCGCAGCTGCTCTGTTCCCATGTTGTTTCAGTATATTAATAACTAACCTCGTATTGTGGATGAATAATCTCAGTTGTTCTCCTGACTGAAGTTTTCCCCGTGTATAGCATCCTGCTATGCGATTGCATTTGTCCCTGACCACCAGAATCCCTCATGTTAACTTTTATCAAGTGGAAAAAAGTTGGCGTTCATCCTCCAGCTAATGTTATGCTAACATAGCTGTTAGCTAGCAATCACGTAGCACAACATTATAAACCAGGTAGTCCAACTTCAGTAACCTGCAAACGCCACTGCTGTTTAGTTTTCTGTCTTCATTTATGTTGGAAGTGGTAGCAGAGCTGTACGTTTGAATTAGTTTCAAAAATCTCTCAGAACATGGTAGGTCATGTTTAGGTGTAAACTAGCGAGCTAACTTCCTGTTAACTTCTAACTCCGTTAAATTTAATGAATTCTGTTTTCATGGATGTAAAACTTAATTGTTACACCTGGTAAAGCAGCAACGCTGATGATTTTATTAAAGATGAAACAATTTAGACCGTTTTTAACTCTCAATGTTTGTTTGACTTTGGGACCTGAAGCTGACGGAGTTTTGGACCCAGATTACTCCGCGAAGCTCCTCACTACGGCAGCCGTAATGCTCTGACGATCCATCAAGCAGTGCGGCTTACCAAAGTTGTACTAAAACAGATTTCTGCCCAAATCGGTTCGAGGTCAGTAAGCACAACCAGAATTCATACATAAGGGGCACTCTCAATTTTTGAGAAAATTAAAGGATTTTAAGTCTTTATAGTGTGGAAAATACGTTATACAGAAGAAAAGAATATATTGTGATATATATCGTTACAGCACATGCTTCAAATTATACCGCGATGTGGATTTTAGGCCATATCGCCCAGCCCTAACTATCGGTGACCTAAGGAGTGATGCTCTTGGTTTGGAGGCCACCTTGACTTCGGCCACAGTTTTCATCTTCAGCTCAGTAGATGCAGCTGCTGTTGCAGTTGGTCCATACTGCTCACAATTGCTTCCACTGTGCTGCAGCTTCTGGGTCTCCAGCTTCAATATTATAGCACTGAGCTGCCAGGTGCTTCTTTGTCTATTACTTTAATGTTCTCATGCCTTAGTTTTAGTAGCCTCATTTCTCATCAAGACGTCCTGGTTCCCCAACACTGGACAAGGACTTTGTTACAGCAACGTGTGAGCTGGTGTGGCTTCAGTTACATGTTGTTCACTCATGTGTGGTAGTGAAAATTCAGATGTATGTATTGTAGCCAGCAGGGACGATATATAGAGCAGCAGCCCCCACCCCCGGACCACGGACCGGTACTGGTCCGTGAGTCGTTTGGTACCGGACTGCAACACCTTAAAGGCCGGTCTGCGACGGTCCGCTGGTCTATAAAATAAAATAATATGACGAAGACAAAAACTGTGGTATTTTGTAAATATAATAATAAACGTGAATTCACTGTGTAACTCTGTAACTTTATTCACAGCGTCCTCCTGAAATGCGCCAACAACATTGAGAGTATTATTCTCCTCTCTTCCCCTTAATGCTCTCTGGTCGCTATGGTAACGTGTAAATATTCCTTTCAAAATAAGACACACAACTACAACACGGGAAAAAACCCAGGGAAACCGAGTTAGCGATAAAAACCCTGAAAACCATAAATTCCACACCCGAGCCTCAACTCTCACGGCCCGGTGCCAAACAGCTCACGGACTGGTTCTGGGGTGGGGACCGCGGATTTAGAGGATCGAATGAAGTGTTTAGTTATCTGCTAACACTGGCAAGCTGCACCTGTAAACTGTACAGGTGGGATAGTGGAGGTCTAGGATGTTACAGTCCCAAGCTCTAGCAGGCAGCAGTGCGCTTTCTCTCTTTTCCAGTAAAGAATGAATGGTTACCTTCAGACTGCCACTAAGAAAACCAACATATAATCCCTGAGCAGGAGCGATGAGTAACCATGTTTTACACAGGTGTTTGGATGTGAACCTGCAAGGAAACGAGGTTGTTGGTGCTAGTGCTGCTAACAGCAGCCACAGTGTGTAATTCACTTTGATTATTGAAGAGCATAGTTTTAGAAAACGCTCTTTAATATAAATAACTATCGTTTTCTTACTGTTAGCCTGGACAATAGGCCTGATTAGTTTTTCTTCCTTTTAAAGACTAAAAAACCCAAGAGCAGTTCCTAGTGATCGTAGCTTTTCCTCCCTTAGCTTGTGTTTAGTCTCTGTTCCCATGTCTGCTCTCTTCTTTTCCTGTATCCCACGAGTCGCTGCATTGCCTATGTTTCCTCAGTTGCCTGTGTTTCATAGTTTTAGTTTCCTGAGTCCAGTTTAGGTTCTAGTTCATGTACAAGGTTTTTGAGTCTTTTGTAGAGGTAATTTCTTATGGCGAGTGTATCCAGCAAATAAAGTTGTGCTTTGAGTTTAATTGTCCGTCATTTGGGTCTTTCCGCCTGCCTGCCACACAGCAAAACATGACACCTGGATGCTTTCTGTTTAATGAAGCTCTTTCTTTAACCTTTTTTGTGGTATTTTGTCTGCTTGAGCTTCCAAAATATTAAATAGTTGCACAAAATCATGGCTGTTACCTCTTTCATCTTAATCCTAATGTTATCATTTGGCTCTAAAACACAAAACCGTAGAACAGCAGGCCTTAATCTATCGGTACACTTTCACACACTGTCTGGTTTGTCTTCAAAGTTTTCAGTAAAGTTACACCCAGTATGAGAAAGAAGCTTGTAGAGGCCCTGATGGACTTCATTAACTTTATCTCTGCTTCTGTTCTGAGTGGCGTTGATGAGTTGAACAGAGAGTTATCCTCCCTGCATCTCTCCGCTGATAAGTTGAGTCGAGATCCCCTCTGAGAGTCATGGGAGTGGCTGTCAGAGTGCTTGACTAGGGACTCAGCCACGAGAAACCCAGAGAACATGAGAGGCGTTCTGAGTACTGCGAGCGTGGGGCCGGTGAGCAGCGCAGAATAACATCATGTTTATTTAATGCAGTAGATGCCTCATTACTGCCTGAATTTGTTGCTATTCGCTTATTTTCAATCTTTCCTCTCCCTCGGCGCTGCTAGCTGGGCTGGTTCAGGAGTTCAGTGACTCCCAGTTCGAACGAACACACACACACACACACACACACACACACACACACACACACACACACACACACACAGTCTTTCTTTAATGAGGCCCTTCATTGTTTCTCACGGTGACCCAGTCAACATGTATGATTCAGACTCAAAAGAAAAAGGTGTGAGCTTTTGCATGTGTGCGTTTCTTAGATGTGTTTTTCCTCTCGAGTCAGCAAACCTTCAGCATAATTAAACCGCTTGCTGCTTGTTGTCAGCAACTCTGTGATTTGGAGAAAGTTGCTCTGTCTGTGTTTAGAACAAACTGACTGTATTTTACTTGGATGCCTTTACTGCCTATTTCCAATGAATGTATCTCCAGATATACTGTTCACGTGTCTTTTCGGTGTCACTCTGGTGTCTGACTATGTGTAACTGTGTGTTTAAGGTTGGGCTATGTGGACCATGCTGAGGAGTTGGCCTCCAAGTTCCTCCAGTGCTTCCCAAAGAACCGGCTGTCAGCTCAGGCAGCACTGAACCATGAATACTTCAGCAACCTTCCTCCACGGCTCTGGGAGCTGCAGGACAGTACGTAACACATCATCATTGCCTGCAGTGTCGCAGCCATTTGCCACCATGTATTGAAATACAGTGCTGATAGAGACCGCTGAGATCCTGCCCACACCCAAGGAAAAGCCAGTTCAAGGCTCTCTGCTAACTTTGTGTCCTTTTCAATGCTGTCTGCTCACTAAAGAAATAAAAAGGTCTGTGCTCAGTTAAAACATCATCATGAATCAGTTCAAGTCATGACTGTCCATGATTGTCTTCTAACTTTATCCTTTGGAAAAAATCCAAAACAGGCTATGAAACAGATACAGAAACATGAGACGAGTCATTTAAATTTGAAGGGACACGCTTTTCTTTCTTTCACCTGACATAAGCAAGTGTCTGTCAGTCACGTGATATTAAATCAAAAAATCACTGCTATGTATCAAATTAAACACTCTAAAAACAACAGCTGGACAATGTTAGTCTTTGTTGTTCAGTTTTAACATAGCTGTATTCAAACCCCCCGAACAAGATGGCCGTGCAGAGATGGAAGTCTGGATGCAGCAGTGAGATTTAGCTTTTCCTCAGTATGTGTGTCCAAGCATTTTTCACTGAAAATCAATTATCCAAGTGTTTGTTTATTCAGCCAACACGTCTGACAGTGTGCGGCTTGTGTGAGCGTGTAGTGTGGAAAACTGAAAAAACTATGCTATGTTTGTACAGAAGCTCACTAACATGTAGCTTAGCTTGAGCATCAGCTCCTGAGAACTATGAGGCAAATCCATTGCAATGTTCTGAAAATAACAGGAAGTTAATTGTTGTAGTTTGAACCACTGAACTTAATCATTAACAGCGTGTTCTGCAGAACCTGCTCCAGCACACAGCTCTCGGTGACAATTAGCACATTTCAAAATGCTCTGCATTGAATTGCTGCATTTTGCATCAGACATCACATTTGTGCTTGGAGTCATAACTCAATTCTGAACACATGTTATACACACAATGCTTTACTTTTTTTATCTGACTGTGAAAATGAACTGCAAGGACGAAGACACTCCTTATAACCCCACAGCCCAGCTGCAGCTGTCTCAGCCATACGGTGCCGTCAGACAGCTTAATGATGCAGAGTTAGTTATTTGTACACATTAGAACCATATAGTGCAGTATTCTATTAGTGCGGAATAGAAAATATCAATGACTGTGCAATAGAACAGCACATAATAGTAGGAAGGCTCTCAGTAGTGAATAGTACAGGATGTGATGAAGAGGAAAATGTCTGGTGGGGAGTGTGGGCGGTTAGTGAAGCTTGTCCAAAAAGCTCAGCTGCAGTTTGCACAGAACTTCTCTTTGACAGTGTGAGCCCGGGGTGCACAAAACCATACGCATGCCAACAAACCACAAGTCTCCTGACCTGATACGCCACCTTTGGTTCTTGGTCGCTGAAAGCTGGAAACCCAGCTCTCATTACCAGTGTCGGGTCAATTTCATACGCCAGTTGAAAGTGTTAGGTCAGTGTTGGTCCATCACAGATGCACAGAAATGCAAGTGGACAGAAAACGTAAAACATGAACCACACAGTGGTCGGACGCAGAGAACTTCAAAGATTCAGCCGAATTCAAGTCAGGTGTGATGTTAATTTAATGGACTGCGAGCACTGAGGAGTCTGCTGTGCTGAATGCTCAATTAAGTCATTAATTTGCTTGTTAATTAATTACACACTGTAGAAATATTAACAGTTACACAGACGCGATGATGCAGCGGTTAGCACCGTGTGTGTGTGTGTGCGTGTGTGTGTGTGTGCGTGTGCCCATTTCCCCTCTTCTGATGTGGCTTTGCTTCCATGATTACTGCAGGTCAGGGTGATTCAGGTGCAGGTGTGTGTTTATTACCTGTCTGTCACCTCTGTGTGTCTCTTACTTGTTGCCAAGGCTCTCTCTTGGAAGCCTCTGAAAAGTGGAAAAGGATGTTTTTGCCTTGCCTCTCATCCCGTTTTTTGGCTTTCTTCAGCTCACGTAGATCGTAGTCGTCTCTCTCTATGCCTGAAAAGAAGGCAGCTGTGTGGATGCCGATGAGACAGTAGGCCCAGTTGGACCTCTGCTGTCCACTGCCATACGCTGAGTTTGATTTTGCCCAGAGAGAGCGTGTCTCTGTAAAGAAGCCCCAGCTTTCGACGCATCTTCATTTTAGAAGCTCGTGTATTTTGGGCGCAGCAGTCAGCGGCTTTAGGCAAAGCTTCACAGTTAGGCTACGTTTCAATTAATCCTACAGAAATGCTTGAAAGTATGTCAGAGATGACTGCCTATCCATATTGTCTGACAAGCTACAGATACATGTGTAAATCCCTTACGCTGTAATTTATTAGTAGTGTGAAAAGCCTGCTCAGCAGACCTGAGTGTGCCACCACTGACGCGCTGCTTATTTTAATGACAGAACTGCATTTTTAATTCCCCCCGATTAGGATTTTTCAGTATTATTAATCCTGTTATCAGCACCCAGCAGGTTGTCGTGTCTGAAAAGAATCAGAAGGCAGCGGTCAGTGAGAGAGAGGAAAGAGATGCCTCGTTTTGATTTTTGTATGCTCGCTTTATCTCTCTCTTTTCGGCATGCAAGTGTGCCACAGGAGAAGCAGCGGCGCAAACTGAGGGAAGAATGGGAGTGAATTAAAAGAGTTTAGAAAATGAGGACAGGAGTGGATAAGCAGGAAAATGGTATCTCAGTATCGTGGGGGAAGGATGTGTCAAAATTATGCAAATGAAGAGTGAGTGTGAGATAAAGAAGTGGCTAATTACTCCAGCTGTGAGTATTTGGCTGCGACTGCAGCATAGTGATTGTGTTGTTTGGCAGAAACAGGAGCCAATGGGAACGGTCCGCCAGAAACATGCTGCACTGCCGTGTAGTTAAAATAACCCAAATCAAAGAGATCCTGACTTTTCTAATGACAAACACGCCAAAGGAAAGTCAAGGAAATGTCTCGTGTTCTCCCTGACGAACAATGTGTTTTCTATGGTCAACTGTGCGCTCTATTATCCTGTGTATTATGGATTTGTTCAGACAATACCCAGACAGATTACAGCGAACAATGAAAGAATTACTGAGACAATGGAGCTCCCGAGGTTGCTGTTAACTGTGCGGATTGCCTTGTGACATTTTTAATTTGATTTGAGTGAGAGTGTGTGGGTGTCTGGCAGTGCATGGAGAAAGTGCAAAGGCCTTTGGATAAGCAAAATACAAGTCCCCTCTCTCAGGGCTGGATGTGGAACAGACATTAAAGTACTGAGACACAGCAGTTGTCCTCCAGTTCCACTGCTCTCTTGGCAAAACTCTGCAACTATTTCAGAGTCAGAGATGAAGATGTGTTCTCCTCACAATGGACAGCGTCGATTCATTTCCCACCCCCAGAGGAATTTGGTTATAAATGCAGCTTTTTAATCTTATTGTTTTCCAGACAAGGAGCCAAAGGAGCTTCAAAGATAGAGGATCCCCACGCTGATTTACAAATTTTTAACCAAAAATGAAACATGCTAATGCTCTTCGACCAGTTTGAAAACCCTGACGCTGTTTGCTCTTCTTCTGTTTTCATCTCACATCCCCCCAAATTCCCTTGATGATTAATAATCATCTGCCTCGCTGTGCAGTTTAGGCTTCACAACTGCAAACAATGGTCACCGTTCCTTCTTCTGTTTGGACTGAATCCAGGGAAGGCATTCCTATTAAGTCCTTTGTATAGAAATGAGCTGTAATTCAGCTGAGGGCTCAACAGGGGTCAGTCCATCCATCCAATCTCTTCCACTTATCTAAAAGCCTGGAGTGGGTGGAGCCTATCCCAGCTCAGGGGTCAGTCAGTACAAGTAAATAAAGAGCTAAATGAACCCCCTACTTTTTGTAGCTTTCTTAAACACCGCATCGATAATGTGTCTGAAGCGAAAAAGGAAGACTTGGTCATTTCATGCTGATTGGTCAGTTAAGGTTTCGTGACATATTTCGGTGGCACTCCATTTCCAAGCGGTATCTGTTGTCTTCATCCACACAAGAAACTGCCTAGGAGACTTAAGGGAAGACTCGATCGTCACAGTGTAACACAACGTTTTTCAATTTCAGTGATACCAGTCTGTCCAGTCAGGATGTAAACACAGGCCAGTGGGAATCCATTTCACCTGCTTTGAAAGTGGACAACAATCAAAAAGAGGATGTTTTTGAGGTGGTGACCACTAGGGCTGCCACAAACGATTGTTTTGATAGTCGACTAGTCAGATCATCATCCATTGGACGTAAAACGTTCAGCTTCTTGCACCAGCAGCATCTGCTCTTATTTAACTATCATTATCTTACAGCTTTAAGTGTTTAAGTTAAGTGCTAACTAAAAATAAAGACAAGATGATAGTTTGTTAAATTTTAATGAAATTTGCAGATTGTGAAGTTTAATAAACTCCTTGCTATCTAAAATATAACAGGACACCAGAGTAAACTCTCGAGCATCTCACACTTCTGATAATCAGCTGTCTGCTTGACGTTTATTCAGCTGTGTGAAAACTATAACTTTAATCTCAGCCAAACCGATTTACTCAGGAACAAATAAAATACTAAAAAAAATATAACATTACATATTACAAATAACATTTTTAAGTGATCTAAGTGACTCATATATCATGTTTAACCTGAGTAGCGAAAGACGGCGGTGGGTTTGAAAACGATTTGCCGGGAGTCCGGTGTTCTCACGGCTCTAGTGAGCCTTGCCCCCGGCTAGCTATCGAGCTGGTGGCTAACAGACGTCTCCGAGCGCTTTTGAAAATATGTGGTGTCTTGAGCAGATATAGGCTACGTCCACACGTACCCGGGTATTTTTGAAAACGCGGATTTTTCTACGCGTTTGCACCTTTCGTCCACACGTAAACGGCGTTTTCGGTCACTGAAAACGGAGATTTTTAAAAACTCCGGCCAGGGTGGATATTTTTGAAAATTCAGTTTTTGCATTTACGTGTGGACGAGAAAAACGCAGAAAACGCAGCGTCAAAGATGTGCGCCGTTTTTGACGTCACACTGTGCGCCACGTTATTGTTTCGGTGAAATGAATTCCTACAATACTGTTACTGTTAATTCTACTCTCTGCAGTGTTTAAATGCTTACATATACACACAGTTACTGTTCCTCCACACATACGACTCGGTTCTGCTTCTATGCCCCATCCTTGTTTACTATTTCCCACCGAGGCTTCTAGACTTCTGATTGGTCAACATTTCTACACGGTTAGGAATATAGCGCCACCTGTTGCTTTGGCATGTTCATAGCAGCGTTTTCCTTCATTTCTGCCTTAACGTGTGGACGGGATTATTTTTTTAAACGAAAACAGAAAATCTCAGTTTTCAAAAATACCCGCGTACGTGTGGACGTAGTCATAAACTGAGCAGATATTTGAGGTTTACACAGCTACATTCTCGCCTGAAAATATGTTAAACGTTTATTTTGTGACCCAGAAAGAATAATAAGAGTAATATTAAAACTAACTAGCTGCCGCCATTGTTGGAAACTGAGCTGGGCTGTGCTATGAATTCTGGGACACAGCTTCTTCTTCTTCGGGGTTTAACGGCAGCTGGCATCCTTGTACATGCAGTGCTGCCATCTTCTGTGTCAGTCCGTTATTACACTCTTAAATCCTGCTACTTATTCCTGCGGCTTTTGTGATCTTACAAAGCTTCAAACAGCGCGTCGACTATTAAATCAGTCATCGACGATTTTGATAGTCGACGTAATCGTGACTAGTCGACTAATCATGGCAGCCCTAGTGACCACAGACCATTGCTCTCTCCAGCTTTGCATTCCGTTCATGTCCTGTTACTGTTGATAGCAGGAGGTTGTGTTTGCACCTAATTCAGGTTGCACAGGTCGTCCAGTTGTTCCAGGACTGCACATCCATCCATGACACCTCAAGTGGGTGTGCTGCGTCTAACACGCTAGTCCCAAGAGTGTGGCGGAGACACCAGGAGACAGACCTGCAGAGGGCCATAGAAGGCCAGCATCCTATGACCTGCTAAAGCCCCACAAAATAAGCCCCACAGGCTACTCATGTGCACTGTCAGAAACAGACTCCATGAGGGTGGCAGGTTCAATTCAATTTTATTTATATGGTGCTAAATCACAACAACAGTCACCTCAAGGCGCTTTACATTGTACAGTAGATCCTACAATAATAGATACAGAGAAAAACCCAACAATCATATGAGCCCCTATGAGCAAGCACTTGGGCGACAGTGGGAAGGAAAAACTCCCTTTTAACAGGAAGAAACCTCCGGCAGAACCAGGCTCAGGGAGGGGCGGGGCCATCTGCTACGACCGGTTGGGGTGAGAGAAGGAAGACAGGATAAAGACATGCTGTGGAAGAGAGACAGAGGTTAATAACAGATATGATTCAATGCAGAGAGGTCCCAGATCTGGGACTTGTGCCCCTTCTGTTCACAGATGAGAGCAAGTTTACACTGAGCATACGTGACAGAATGAAGGAGTCTGGTGAAAAAGATTATGCTACCTGCGACCTCAACCAGAATGAGTGGTTTGGCAGTGGGTGACTGGTCTGAGAATACAAGTACTTGAAGAAGTTCTTAGACTAGCAGGACCCTGACTGCTGTTGGGCACCAGGATCCAGACCCATTGTCAGACCTTAAGCAGGCGCAGTGGACCCTGGGTTCTTCCGGGTGTAGGACAGTTTTTGCAATTATTGTTGAGCTATGTTGTTCGCAACAAATGACAGAGTGTATATCAGTAAACATATTCAACATTTTTGAGAGTTCTTGGATGTTTAGAAGATTACGCTACGCTGACAACTGCAAAGACAGGCTGAAGTGGAGCATTTTTCCAGTATTTAAAGATATTGGTATGGGTGCGCTACTGGCTCTTGTGGTATTTTAGAATGGTTTATTTTCTTTCTGCAGTGTCTATACTTCTCCATCCCAAAGTCAACAGTAAAACTTTCACACATTCAACGCAACTCACACAATTGTGTCATTTTTTTACAACATTTATTAAAACCTTAAAGACCAGTGAGGACGTGTGTTTTAAAAGGCATTAGCTCTGTTAGCGAGGTTGCGAGTCTCTGCAAGTTGAAACTCATAGTGTATAGAAATGAACTCAAACTAACCAGTGGCATTAATTGTGGAACATATTTCTGACATTTGCTGAACTGATTGTGTTATCACTGGAATGGTCATTTTAAAACTGAAATGAGCTTTGCCACACGAAGCAATTTAAAGATCCAGTTCCTCCCGACACAAATATTAAAGCAGGGAAAACTGTTGCTGCAAATAAATATTCTAATATTCACTTTTTAATAAGCATCTCTATCTTCAACAACTCACTTGGAAATGTTCTTGCTGTCAGCCTACATACTTCTAATCCGCTCGCGTCCTCTTCCCCCTGCAGTGTCTTCTATCTTCACCGTACCAAATGTCAAGCTGCAGACAGAGAGCGGGGACAGCATACAGGTGTGTGCACGAAGGAACAGTCATGGAAAGGCATCCTCTGGCAGCAAACACTGACCTGAGGCAGCATCCTGCACACGACTGCCTGACAGGTACGCGCTCATTAGCAAACAGTATGCTGCAGCAGAAGCAGCATGAAGTAACACACTCTCAAAAGAATAACATGGAACATGCAGACAGAAGGTGAAACTTTAATGATATGGATATTTTCATGCGCTATATTGCTTGTGTAGTATGTGAAGTAGTACTTGTTTGTGTCGCATGTGAATTTGAGTAGTGTGTTCTCAAATCAAACACGGCCACTTGTTCTCTGACCACAACTGACGTTTGCAACACTTTACTGGGATTGTCGTGCTAGCTACGGCATTTTTTTGAATATCTGTGACTTGCTGTTCCTCTGAACACACATAATATTTAATCACGCTACACAGGTCAACACTCATAAACACAAAATCTGTAGTCTTACCTGAAATGCTTGAATGCGCTGTTAGCTAAGTAGCTTGGGTAAGGCATGCACAGCATCCCACAGGCCGCCGCTGCTTTGGGGATATGCTATGAAGTTAATATTTTCTAACAAGACATGTGGAACAAGTGCTTATGGTCGTGTTTTATCAGAGTTACATGTCTTTATATGATCAAATATGGTTTCAGTTTATTCTTTTGTGCATACAGTGTGGCCGTATAGAGGATAACTAGCTAAACAGTAGTAAACCATTTCTAAAACCTGGATGTTTACTCTCAGTTCATGCTTTGTTAATATATTCTGCATATTTATCTGTCCATATATATACATATGTATGTATCTTCGTTGTATATGTGACACATGCAAGGGCCTAATGTTGTTGGATCATTTCTTATAATTGATTTTACCAAGAGCTGATGTTGCAGTGGGATTTATTTTTCACTCATGCTCCTATTAGTGAGTCGAATCATATTTGTACATCTTTGGTTTTTTTATAAGACTAATCAGCCGATTTTCTCATAAATACAAGAAGAAAATCAAACAGTGATGTAATGGAAAAAGTTTATCTATTAGAACACAAAAATGTCAAACAACATGAAAGTCATTAGCTATTCCCTCGCACAGTTCTCTGTCTGACACTGATCTGCATCCTGCCGACCACCACGGCCTTTCTTTTAACACCGAAGCCATGAGATCTGTGCCGCCTGCACTAAAGCAGAGAATCCAGTAATAGATGGAGGAATGGCTTTGAGTGGGCGAAGAGGGTGTCCCATTCTTTAGAGACGGGGGTTCTCTTTCAGGGCTCAGATAAAGCGCCGCTATTTGCATGTAATAAGAGGTGCAGAGGCCAGGCATGGGGATAATAGTTGGCCTAATGATGGAGCAACACAGGGCCACAACAGTGCACTGTGGGCCAGATTAGATCTGTAATTGCTGACAGGTGCATATATGTAGCAGACGCAGCAGCTCCTCAACTAGTCGTCACCAACTTTCTCCAGTGTTTCATTTCTTGACGTTTCATCGAAAAAGGTTTGATACAAAGTAGATGTATTTACTATTCTAGGGATTTTGTGTGTGTGTGCCCTGATCTGGGGCTAATGGCTTTCTCTCTCTCGCTGTGTGTGTGCATGCGCGTGCACATGTGGAGGGTGGAAGTCACCCCACCGAGAGCGCTGTGTCCTCTCAGCTGCTGCATTTACATTGAAATCAGGCTCTTTGTCCAAGCAGGCCTAAAGCCTGGCAGGCTGGGAGAGCTGCACTGATAGCAGCCTAATCCCTGTGCACACATTCCCATTAATACGCTGACAAATTACACCAACACATGCACACGGCTTTTTATGCTTCCCCTCAAATGTAACTCATGCACCAGTATAACGCTACAATATAGCACTAAACAGCCGCACACTATAGAATATGATAGTGTTTACTGTCATTCTTTTTAATGGTGATTGTGAGTATCACTGTGCTGCTCTGGGCTTTCCAAACTGCTGTTTGTGAGAGCAAAGTGCAGGATGTCAGTACTTTGAAGTTTAGTGATTGTAAATGAATGACGGTGGTTCTGGTTAAAAAAATTTTTTTAAAATTCTTACATTTGGGGGACTCACAAAGCATATAACAAAAGGATTAATTGAATAAAAAATCCATTCCAGGTTCCATGGCACACGGACGCGCCGGCTTTGCAAAACTGTTTGCAGATAGATAACGACGCTCCGTTAAAGAGCGCTAAAGGTAGATTAGGACACTTTGCGTTTTGGCTGTTTGTTCTTGGCTAGGCTAGCATACTAAAAGCCAAAGGCTGGGTGTCGGCACCCAAAACTGTTTGGATACAGGTGTGAATAAAAGTAAAATTTATCCAGCGAATTTAAATGTGATATGAAGTGGAGCCTTACAAGCATGACTTTCTTTACAATTACACCTACTGTGTATCTGAGAGAGTGAGAACACTTCTGTTTACACAGATATACAGCATCAGCTGTTTAGTTTTTTAAGGTTGGCTACAATTAAATGGATTTTACATAATGGTTTCAGTTTTGCTTAATGTTGCACTTATACCACACACAGCATACTGAGATGTACTCAAAGAATGAGCGTAAATTCTTGAATGTAATATGCACGTGAATATGTACGGACCTGCTCCTAAAGCCTTTCTGCTAAAATCAGAGGTAAAAGAGGTGAGGAGAAGGGAGACAGGGGAAGGGCAGCGCGATCGCGCGAATAAAGGCTAGATGGAAGCAGTGGCTTGCGGGAGCAAGGCTGGATTTCTTTTTGTTGAGGCAGCGTTGTATTATTTATAGGAGGTGGTGGAGGCAGGCCGCTTCAGACGGAGCAGAGCAAAGAAGGCGAGCAGCCCCCTTTCTCTTTTGTGGGTCTATTCCCAGTGGGCAGGCTTTGTGCTGGATGGCTGCCTTTGAGGAAACCCATGCAGCTATTGAGCTGAGAGTGAAGGCCGGACCCGACTCGCCCGCACTGAGACACAGCAGCGCTACAGCTCTACAATGTCTGTCACTGCTATGGCCGGGGAGCAAAAGAAAAGGATGGAGACAGAGTGACAGAGGATGGGGGAATAGTGGGAGTGTTTGATTTTGGCAGGGAGGGAAGAAAGAAATGGTGTTTTTGTGGGAAAGGAGAAAAGCTGAAAGTGATAGAAGGGCAGAAAAATGGAGGCGGGGTGGAGAAGAGAAGAAATAAGGGAAAGGTCTCCTTTACAGTACTGCAATACATTCATCTATGTTTATTCATGATTCTGCATTATTCACGAGATTAGCTGATGCAACTTGGAGCCGAGCGTAGGCAACGGCTCCCCCCATCAATCCGCTCGGTGACCACACAGTTCAACTCCGAGTCCCAACAAGTGGGAGACAGCTGCCCTGTCTCTGAGCTTCAACACACTTCACTTTAGGCGAGGGTATGTGAAGAATTGGATGCAGCATGCGCACAGTCAGAATACATAACAAAGCATGAAACATTGATTCAATCAGGGAGCGAAAAGCAACATGAAAGAGGTCAATTCAACGGCTCGGTGCCTCAGTCCAAACAAGAACTTAGTTGGTCTTATTGTGAAGACAAATCAGCCGAGGTTTGTAGCGTCGTTCCAGTTTCACATTAAGATAGAATGATTTAATCGAATTTAAAGCTGATTCATTTCATTACTCAACAATTATCTCGACAACTGCACATAATGCGAAATAGGTGGATCATACTTGGAGACCCACAGCGTCTTTCAGCTCATTGTTTTGGTTTTACAGCTGAGCAGCAGCACCTTACTGTTCAAACTGAGAAAAAATGAAAATAGAGTTTAACCACTGCATTTTCCAACTGGTGGAGACCAAAAAAGTGCTACAAGAGGTTGAATGTGGAGCTTTTAGTTAAAGCTAAACAAACGTTTAGCTTGTGGCTTTTTATCAAGGTACAATAATACTATAATAGTTCTTTAAAAGGCCGTATTGGCGTCATCGTTGTCCCAAAAAATTGTAAATGGTTTTATATTTTTTCTGTTTTTCCAAATCGGAAGCTACATCCGAGTTCATAGCAGAAGCTGAGGTTACCTTGCATCTGATCTGCTTCTCAAATGATTTCAAATGGCTAACTGACTTGTCAGCATCAGTAGTTTTAAATTAAAAAATTTTAACACATTTAATGCATCTGGAGTGCAGAATCACTCAAAATCCCTGAAATGTTTCTGCAACGCATTTCGGGCAGTTTATCCAAGTAGAGTTACCTTCGCACATGTGCCAATGGGGAGCTGATCTGGTATCGAGCAGCTGAACCAATCAGCTCAGTGTGGAAGATGATAAACGCACATTTGAGTATTAAAAAAATAACAAGACAGAACAGTCGACCAACATAAAGTATTTTGCACATTGTGCAAGAAGGAATTTTCTTTTCACCGAAGCACTTCCAGCTTAAAATATCAAATTATTATCACATATTATATATTAGTGTATACTTACCTATTAGTATATAGGTTTTTTAAAAAGTTGTATTTCACAGGAGAGAAGCTGTGCTAAAAGATTGAAGAAAACTATTCAAATTCTCTCTGAATTTAAGCATTGAACATTCTTTGTGTTTATTCTCCATTTGCTTCATTATATTCCATGAATGTCAGTTACGAGCTTAAATATAACGTTGAAAAAATCTAATTGCAACCAGGCTATCGATCAAGTAATTGCGATTAATTACAGAAAATTGTGAGATTAATTAATTAATTTTTTTAACCTATTGACAGCACTAAAAATACCACTTATTTAGTTTTTTCACAGTACAGTTGATTATGCTGCGCTGTAGACACTCGCACAGACGTCTGAGTAGTCAGTCCTGTTATGCCTTTTTAGAAGTCAGCTGTGTGGTTGGTGCAATATAAATTCTCATCTGGGTGGTGACAACAACTGGTAGGTGTACAGAGGTTGGCATCGCCCTCACACTCTGATGATATTTACCTCGGATCAGAGCGGAATCCCAGACACGGAAGTCATAAGTCATAAAGAAATGTTTCCACCTCTGTGTCGGTGTTTAGTCATCGTCACAGGGAGACCTCCGAAATGAAGACAAGCGGACCAAAAGAAACAAAAGTTCTTGCATTTAGTTCCTACTACCTGTATCTCAGATATGCAGTGTCTGTGGGAGGTTCAG